TACTCTGTGCCCTCAGGTTGGAGGTCCGGCCAGACAAGGTATAAAATCATATTTTACTTTTTAAATCATATTTTAGAAGTGTCTCATGGCATTTTTCATGGCCCATTTTTTGCTTTTCTTTTCTTTGCTTTTTTTTATTATGCTTGTTTTTATGTACTGCTTATTGGGAATCCACCTTTACAGCTTCTCTGATCATCTTACTCATTGTTTTTTTTTTGTCATCTGTGTACTGCAGGACCCAGAGTATGAGGTTTGGTTCCTGGTGGAGGTCTATAAAGTGGGCGAGGGTGCCACCATAAACCAGACTGCCCGTTTTGCCAATGTCACCATGGTGGAGAGTGATGACCCACGGGGGCTGGTGTATTTCGCCCAGGGCTCCAGACTACCCGTGGTCACCCTCAAAGCCACAAGAGTCAGTCTTCAGGTCTACAGGGATGCCAGTGCAGCATCAACTATCTCTGTGAAGTACCGCATGCAGGTGAGATTCATTTGAAAAAGGAAGCATCTCCTAAGATAACAAGAGATATTCAATAAGCACAATAATATACTGGATTTAGAATCAAGGAGGCATAGAGAATACATATACAGTACAAATTCAGCAAACTCAGAAAGAACATATGGTTTATTTGCATAGTTTATTGCTGAAAATTCAGTTATTCTTATTAATTACTCATTGGCTGTAATCAAAGAGCAACTGCATGTCCATCTGCCAGTACCCAGCCTACACCCCTCTCTGACCCCATTACATAATGTGACCACATTAGTGATTAGAGGACTGAGATGATGTCAAATTCATGAGCTAAGATGATGAATGTAGAGAAGATAAGAGCTATGAGCAATTAGGCCACTGAGTTCCCAGCAGATACTTCAAAGGCAATAGATATGGTTGCATAGTGGAACTGGAAAAGTCTGTGGGAATTCTTTTTTTTTATTTTTTGCTCTTTTTGTCCCTCTGGCACACCCTTTCCTTTCCTTAATTTTTCAGTTTTCCTTGCCTACTGTTTTACTTTAAGGCATAAGGAAATACTTTTCATTCCCGGTATGTTAGTTACACACTTCAAAGGAAAGTGTGCAAAGTGAATTTCAAAGTTTTAACTGTCCACCTCCATCAACCTCTTGCTATGTGCTCAGTTACTTTAAAAGTTCTAAGAAAACCGATTTTAGGTGTAAATATCAGAGTATTAACTGTGTTTTGTGTCGTCTGCTCTCACAGGAGCTTCAGAAAGCGGAGTCTATTGGACCCTCTCTGGTCTGGCCTGCCGTGGCAGGGCAGGACTTTGTCATGGCAGAGGGCACCCTGACTTTTGAGACTGGACAGAGAAGTGCTGGTCTGGACGTGGCCCTCACACCGAACATCAGTTCTTCCAACCCAACACCCAAACGGTTCCGCGTGGCTCTCTCTGATGCCACTGGTGGTGCACGGGTTCACCCAGAATTCGGGCTGACTAACATCACCCTGGTTTCGGACTCAGAGGCTCAGGCAGTGTGGGCCCTGCTGGACCAGTTACATCAGCCTCTGGATGAGACCATCATCAATCGGGTCCTGCAAGGGCTTATCAACAAAGTTAGTAAGGACATCACTCCAGAGCAGCTAACTGCAGTGTTAGATGCACTAAGCAAGGTAAGCAAATGAGCAAACATTCCAAAAAATGTGTCCTAAACACAAATGTTCTCAGAAGGAAAGTTGACTAAATAATGTCTTCATTCCATTTTAGGATTGAGCAATCCTGAGTAATAAAAACGATTAAAACCCTAAACCAATGGGGGAAAAAAACAATAGTAATAAATAAGAAATTCCTATTTAGGTAGCAAAGTAAGCATGTCAAAGGTGTGGACCAAAGAGGTATAAAATCACTTTTCATTACACTGACACTCCTTTAGTTCCAAACTTTGATATGCAGACTACAGTTAACAATTTTGGGGTCAGTAAATTTGTTTTATTTTATCGATTTCTTTCTTTCTTATTTTTGAATAAATTAATACTTTTATTCCACTAGGTTGCATAAAATTGATTATAGTGACAGTAAAAACATTTATAATGTTGTAAAAGATTTCGGTTTTAAATAAATGCTGTTCTTTTGAACTTTCTATTCATCAAAGAATCCTGAAAAAATGTAGCAGTTTCCACAAAAGAAAGGGGCATAACAATGTTTTCAACATTGCTAATAATGTGAAATGCTTCTGGAGCACTAAATCAGCATATTAGAATGATTTCTGAAGGATCATGTGACACTGAAGGATGGAGTAATTGCTGTTTTAAATTGTCATTTTTACTGTATTTTTGATCAAATAAATGCACCCTTGGTGAGCATTAGTGTATGTTTATTTAGTGAATGATAAACATGTTTATCAGGTTTTAGAGAGGTGAGAATTTATTTAAAGTTTGCCGGATCTTGAGCATTTTTTGAATACAGTTGTTCAGGAAATCCAGCTGTTCTGCATTCTGTCTAAAAACAATGAGGGGCCACATAATGGCCCCCAGAAATCAATTAAAACAGCTTTCCTTACAATGCTTTTTTGTTCCTTAAGTTCCTAGAAATCTTTTATCTAGGGAGTACAATGCTTGTATGTGCAGCCACACAAGGCTCCACTGTGTGAAAAAATCTCTAGTCTTGGCAACAAAGCTTTGTCTTTTCAGTTAATCTGTACCATTTTATTACTGGGAACAGTAACGCCCAGACTGCTTCACGCTATTAGTACTACAATATAAGCAAATCAGGGTTTCTGAGATTTAAACATTGGTTTGTTTTAAGTTCTCTTTTCACATTAAATAACTGAAAGTAGAATGTCACAGAGTTGCTTAGTAGTGGTTGACTACTACTGCCAATACTTGCATTTTTTGTTGGCAACAAATTTTGACAAGAACATCCCCAAAGGTGCTGTCACATTAGAAAATGTTGTCAAAACGTTTGCTGGCAAAAATTGGCAAATTTCCATTGTCAGTAGTGTAGCAAAGAATGAAGCACTGCTCACACAGAATTCCCTTTCAAACCAAGCAGCTTCCTGTTCATTGTGGCAAATTCACTCGACTAACTTGAACATGAACGAAATCTGCATGGGGATTCTTTTTGCCCTCGTACGAAACTCCCAATGACACGGATTCTATTTAAATGAATGGATTGTGTCCGCAAAATTTCACAAAGCAATGGTAAATGTGATTGCACCTTAATGACCACCCTAGAAACACAATGGCAAGCACTCACAACACCAAAGCATTATGGCAGTGCCACACACATTTTCTAAATGTGATTCTAAAATTGATGTAGTAGTATTGTAAAGGAGTTTTCAAACTTTTTAAAATGAGCCTAAACTCACTTCACAGATTCTGAAAGATGCTGAGCAGTCTCCACTAAAAGACAGCAGCCGTGGCTTGACCTATGACCTCTTGTGCTCTATGTCGAACCCCAGCCGAGCGGACACTCGAGGTATGAGCCAGCTGGCTGAGGTGGCGTAGCGTTTTGCCTTCAGCCTGCTCACAGACATTGACTGTGGGGCAGAAGGAAAGAGGTGAGATCTATTTATTGTCATAATTTCATGTTTTTTTCTGTTTTGTTTTTATCTGAGCTCATTCTTATATGCATTGATTTTTTTGTCTTTAATCCAGAGGCACAACCATACTGGACACCTGCCCGTATTTCACCATAGCAGCTCACCACTGGTACCCCACTCAAATCAACGGCCACACATTTACAGGCAAAAACGCAGACACGTTCACCCTGCCTGAGACCCTGCTGGAGGTACCAGCCCTTCCTGCAGACCGCATGGCCCTGTCCGCTTGCCATAAAGCGCACTTCACCGAATATAGTACTGAGCACTGGTTCCTCACCAACACAAAAGCCAGTGCATAAATGACAAGGTGAAAGAGCGTTTCACTGTATCCCTCAATACATCAGTGCTCAACACAAATTGTTGTATTTGTTGTAGTAGACAGTTTCACAAATGTGAATGTAGCTTTTGCCCACTAAGCTCAAGCCAGTGTCCAGCAGATGACACTGTTGAGTTGGACATTTTAAGTTGTCTCATGTTTGGGATCATGTATGGGATCACAAATCATGTATGTGGCTTCCTCTGGATAGGGCATTTAAAGTGATTATAATATTTTATTTGCACTTGGAATTGGGAACTGACTACAACTTTTAGTGTTTTTAATAGCTGAATTCACTCTGAATAATCCATAAATGTGTGTGTTTGTGCAGGTTTTCTCAGTCAGTCTTCATGGCAGAGCCTCTAAATCGCTTGCTGAGGGTCAAAAGGTTGTTTACCGCATACACACTCCTGACCGACGTGGAAAACCTCTCCAATCTCTGTGCCTCCTGTGGAATCAGGCTGCCGAGAGGTAATTACAAAACGCAAACACATGCATATAGTTATTAAGGTGTTGCATGGCACAACTTTAGTTGTTTACAAAGTTAGGAGCTCCTTTAGTGTAAAACGTACTACACACAATACATTCTACTACTCTTCATTCATACTTGAAAACACATTTGAGATTACATGCCTATTTACTAAAAAAAAATACTCATCCAAATGAACTTGACAGACCATCTGGCGGTAAAGCTCTGACCTTGTCCATGAATGTCACGCTCATTGCTGAGACAGACAGTGTGTACAGTGGAGCTGAAGGGTCAGGGCTCGTGACCTGCCATGGCGAAGTCTTTTAAGGCCTGTCTCACACATTCTTTAGGACATGCCTGTGTGTATTTGAGCAGGAAAGTTCAGTACGTTAAAGGGTGTGTTCTTGGCCAGGAAGCTATTCTAGAGGACATTTCACAGCTTTTAGCCTAGAATATTAACTACAGTTTGTCCCTGAATTTTCTACAGGTTTGGGTTGATGTAAAACAGATGGATTTCAGAATTATGCTTTAGATAACAGATATTGTAAATATATATATTTTTTTCTCTTAACTTTGGGAACTTTTCTCAACTTCATAACTATTTGTTATGCTATTGTGATTTCTTGTAATATAAATGACTTCCTAGAGCGACTAAATGATTCCTTCAGCAAGCTAATCTCAGTGACAGCTTAATAGCTGGAATTCAGAGTAATGCGAGATCATTTGGAATGATAAATTGGTGTGTTGCATAAGTTTAATTTAGATGAACAGTCAAGTCCAATTTAACAGCTTTCTGTGTTTCCCCATTGGGTGAAATTTGTCGCACTGAACTTAACCTTAAAATATCCTGAAAGATTGTTGAACTCCTCCAAACAAAATCTCATGTCACAGCACACTGAAACTTCATGTTCAGTAAAACATTTCCCTTAGTACTAGGAATAATTATGAATTAGAGATGCACTATACATCTGCCCGATAATGGCAATCAATAATGACTAATTTAATTTATACTGTTTTATTTTACATTTCTTTAGAAAAAATAGTATAGAACAATTATTATGATTTTTTACATTATCATTTAGTGGCACTAGTGGCACAGAAATGACATACTTCACCTTTAAACTTGTATCAAAAAGCCTTTTGTTTTGTTTTTGTTTTGTTTTAGTTTTAATTTTGTGTTCTTTTTTTTTTTTTTTTTGTTTTGTTCTTAGTTGTCACAGCACACTGAAACTTCATGTTCAGTAAACATTTCCCTTAGTACTAGGAATAATTATGAATTAGAGATGCACTATACATCTGCCCAATAATGGCAATCAATAATGACTAATTTAATTTATACTGTTTTATTTTACATTTCTTTAGAAAAAATAGTATAGAACAATTATTATGATTTTTTACATTATCATTTAGTGGCACTAGTGGCACAGAAATGACATACTTCACCTTTAAACTTGTATCAAAAAGCCTTTTGTTTTGTTTTTGTTTTGTTTTAGTTTTAATTTTGTGTTCTTTTTTTTTTTTGTTTAGTTTTGTTCTTAGTTTCTTTGTTTGTTTGTTTGGTTTTTTTTATATGACATGTGGCTTGCCATGATCATTCTGGTATAATTTCTCCTGTCCAGCTGTGTGTCTGACGGTCAGTTTTGCCGTGTGGTGGACGAAAGTCAGAGTTTTGTGGAGTGTGCCTGTACGCATCTCTCCGTCTACACAGCATATGCAGAGACAGGAAGTTTGGCTTCATTCAATGAGGCCTTCTATGCTGCTGGCTTCATTTGTATCTCAGGTAACTCATTACCGTCTACATCAGGGCTGGCCAAACTCGGTCCTGGAGGGCCGGTGTCCTGCAGAGTTTAGCTCCAACTTGCCTCAACACACCTGACTGGAAGTTTCTATGCCTAGTAAGAGCTTGATTAGCTGGTTCAGGTATTTTTAATTAGGGTTGGAGTAAAACTCTGCAGGACACCGGCCCTCCAGGACCGAGTTTGGACAGCCCTGGTCTACATGATTGTGGGGGTACAAATCCCACCAAGAAATCTTCCATTGCTTGTGTCATCAGGACTATGTACAGTATATATCTGTCTTTCACCCCCAGGGTTTGCCTTGGCCATTGTGTCTCATGTGCTGTGCTCTAGATTCCTAATGTTCGCTGCCAAACTCCTCACACACATGATGGTGGCCTGCTTAGGGACTCAGGTAAGACCTAACTTAACCAGTAATGTGGTCAACCAGTTAAATTTCGATGGCAAACAGCATGCCTATTCAAGTTAACACTAAATATGCATGTAAATTAATTCTGGTTTAAGATGGTCTAATTGTTCACTGTAACTTCCTATAATGTGTAAATAAACTTTTCCGGTGTATGTTACGTCAGTATCATGCAGTAACTGATAATGTGATGGTGAGGCTGAAATCCACGTATAATCTGTGCTTGGGAATCAGTATCAGGGTCTAGGACGCTACTCCAAAGAAATGTGATACAGCTATGACGTCAACATGATTTTTTTGCTGCGTAATGCGGCCTAGTTTAGCGTGAGGATGTTTGCCTCATCTTTGAGCAAGTGTAAGGTACAGTGTGATGTTGCTGAGTCCCAGGAGTTGTGTTAAACTTAGTAAAAGCTGAAAGTGGATGTTTTGTGCGTGCTTTGAATGACATGTCGAGGTGGATGTGAAAAAGTATTATGCATTAGAGTGCTTTCTTCTGCCTGTGCATCAGTAACATTGTACTGTAACCTGAATACACAAAGTCGGTATCAGAAACTACTGCACGAGTCACGTCTAATGAAAACAGTGATTTAAAGTAGATAACTCTTGGTTTGGGTTAGTTTTGCGTGAATGGACAGGTGGACAGGAGATGTTGAAGGTGTCTTATTGCATGTATATCTTTTGAACCAAGCACATCGGGAAACTCAAGAACTTCAAGAACAGATAACATTTTCTAAGAAATGTGTCATTGCAGCTTGGGCGAGCACATCCAAATGGGCTAGTGTGTTAAGCCCTGACAACCGAACTATCCCTATGCACCCATCCCTCTACAAAGAAGAGGGGGGTCATTTAGTCAGAGGTCTGATACCTGTGGACTGGAGTGGGAATTTTCCACTGGTCCTGCTCACTTATAGAAAAAGAAGAAAACAAACATGGCTCTACTTAACAGGGCTCAGAAAAACCCGCTCGCATTCTGTCATCCGTTAATTGTTTCGCTTTTCTTTACCTCAACGGTGTTGAATGGAAAATTCCAGTCTGGCCATCCCAAGAAGTCATGCGTCATACAGGTTCGGTACCGACAATAGCTGGGCTCATATTTTGTCAAAGGATGTTAAAAGGTTATAAGATAAATATCCTCTAGACTTGGACTTGGAAAAGTCGATTTTGGACTTCCCAGTAAGCACATGTGCATCACTGAGATGTCTCTGAAATAGTGCATCATCTGGATGTTAATGTGTGCTATTTAAAGTGTTATTTTTGTATAAACATCTGATAAACATCTTTAAAAGAGTATTTGCACACAATCTAAATCAGATGCAACAAAACATCTTCCATATGTCAGTCTAACATCTGATAGGTTTTTGCAGCATGTTGCAAATATTTTAAACAGACACTTTAAAAAGGACATCTTCCAGATGAAAACTGGAGTACCCAACACAAAAATTTGAGTTCGGTCACTCACTCTCATTTCATAGCTGTATGGCTTTCTGTCTTCTGAAATAATATCATTTTGTAGATTCATTGCAAATTATATTGTCACCATAACAATCTGAGTAAAAAGTTACAGTAAATTGTAATTTCTAAATTGAACTTATTTTCGGAAATGTGACCTTGGACCACAAAACCAGTCTTAAGTTGCACAGGTATATTTGTAGCAATAGCCAAAAATACATTGTATGGGTCAAAATTATCGATTTTTCTTTTGTGCCAAAAATCATTAGGATATTAAGAAAAGATTATGTTCCATGAAGATATTGTGTAAATTTCCTACCGTAAATATATTAAAACTTAATTTTTGATTAGTAATATGCATTGCTAAGAACTTCATTTGGACAACTTTAAAGGCTATTTTCTCAATATTTAGATTTTTTTGCACCCTCAGATTTTCAAATAGTTGTATCTCGGCCAGATATTGTCCTATCCTAACAAACCATACATCAATGGAAAGCGTATTTATTCAGCTTTCAGAAGATGTACAAATCTCAATTTTGAAAAAAATTGACACTTATGACTGGTTTTGTGGTCCAGGGTCACAAATGCAAAATTATGGTACCAAATGCACTGCATTATTTTTGCTCTATTTGTTAGACATTTCAGTCTACACTCTTTCTATAGTTTTATCTTTTTTTAATCACTGTTTGACATTTGACTTCAGAATTCACTTATACAAGTTTTTATCTATGATGCAAAAAATACAGAATAAGAAAATGTATTGTGATTGTGCTAAAACATTAAACGCCTTCAGCCATAGTTTTTCTCTTCAGTAACCTGTCTCAACTTGACTACCTGCGTGACAGCATGTAGGTGAGACAGGTCGACAACTCAAGACTGTAGTTAGTGGAAATTTACCCAGACTAGCTCACCTGGGCCAGAATGTAAGTGCAGTAAGGCTGTTCTTATGAGCAACAATAACACACATTTAGCAAGGGTAATCATCTAGCGAGCCGCAGCAATAAAAGGCTTTTCGGGAAGGTGGCCTTTAGATTCACATGCATGCAGCTCGTGTGTGAGATGTACACAAACACATATGGAGACGCTGACACACATGGCCACCCGTGCAGTGGAAGTATTGTCACACAAATACAACAGAGAAGATTTAATGAATATAGTATTCCATATGAAATTAAATACCCCCTCCTCGATGCATCCCCTTAATTTTGTCCTGAATTGAATGTCCCAGAATGAAGTGATAGAGGTCAGGGTATCCCAAAATCAGTTACGCTCATTTCAGCTCATTTCAGGTATATTAGGTTCACTTAACGTACCCTGTGTCATGTGCAGCATGCAGTCTCTTTCTGAAGCTCTTCCTTGCCAGCTCAGTGTGTCATTTGTCACTCTGGTTTTGCAGTACTAGGTGATACAATTAAGTCTCAAATATATATAACCAGTCTAAATTTTGTGTTCCACCCTCTCTCTTTTTTGGAAGTATAATAAAACAATTTTCTGATCGTACACCCATGATAACGTATACTGTAGCTCAAAATAAAGTGTTCCTGTGATAAGCTGAATGTTTATTTCCACAAAAGGACTGTACATTTTTCCTTTTGACATTTGTTATGATCACATTTGTTTGGAGATGGAGATGGAAAAAGCTGAGTGTGTCATGACTTACGTATGTTATGAGGCTGCACTAGCAATAATTGTTGGAGATGCATAAATGTCTGCATGATAGCAGGCTAATAATGAGCTAATGCTGTGAAATTCATAGGAAGACTTTTCAGAGCAATAGGATTTGTTACATGAATCCAGGTGGACAAAATAACTCATGTTTTGTTCTTGAGTAGTACTATTTTATTGTCCCTGACGTAGTGTTTTATTGACGTAGTGATGGCTGACGTACTGTTTTATCCACCTTCTAAATTGAAAATAAGGAAATGGGGGGAAATATTGTGTGTATTCTTTAGTTGCATCTTGTGTTGTAAGTGCCTCAACATGTATTTACAGTATTTTTGAAATATTTTTAAAATTAGGTTTAAAACTATCCAAACACACAGGACTTCAGTATATATTCAAGAGTGTATCATATGAACACGCAAATCATATACCAAAAGTTTGATTTTTAAAAAATCTTCTAATCTCTTATGCTCACAAAGGCTGCATTTATTTGGCTGCATTAACTGTTTCCTATTTTTAATTTTAAAATTCTATTTATTCCTGTGATGGAATCTGATCTGTTGCTCAAGAAACTTACAATAAATGTTGAAAACAGTTGTGGTGCTTAATATTTTTGTAGAAACTGTTATACTTTTTTTTTTAAGATTATTTGATGAATATTTTTTAAATAGAAACCTTGTGTAACATTATAAATGTCTTTACTGTCATTTATTAAATTAATTTAATGTATCTTAATCTTTTGCAAAATAAAATCACCCCAAACTTTTGAACAGTAGTGTACAATATGAGCTGAAATATTTGAATGTCAGTCCTATCTGTGTTAGACAGTATCTGGATGCAAATAATAATAAGCTTCTCAATGAATACAGTGAGTTTTGTTAAAGGGGTCATATGATGCGATTTAAATTTTTCCTTTCTTCTTGGAGTGTTACAAGCTCTTGGTGCATAAAGAAGATCTGTAAAGTTGCAAAGACTAAAGTCTCAAATGCAAAGAGATATTCTTTATAAAAGTTAAGAGTCAACCACGCCTACCTAAAACATACATCAACTTTGCACTGTGTATCGGCTTTCACCGTGGACGAAGTGGAGTCCTCGTCACATGTGGTTGCCGCAAGCCCTCCGGACGCTCCTCCGTTGAATCCGCCGGCCGCTCCGTTCTCAAGCCCACCCGCCTCTGCTCACTCTAGGCCGCGGCTCACTCTAGGCCGCCAGGTGTGACGCTGTGTTTCGTTGTGAAAGCGAAACTACTTTGTTTGGCCTTCTAAAAGAGGACACGACTAGAAATCAGTGGTTAAGTTGTATTTACAACACTGTTCCAGAACCGTTTAACCCAAATATTCAGATGTGTCCAGCGCATTTTATGAAGGACTGTTTCCTGATCCTGGGAGAGTAGACTACAATGCCGGCTGTTCTGACTCACAGACTGTAAGTACGTTTTTTATATTTAAAGAATTTGCCACTGACGATTCAAACGCGGGTTTTTTGAGCAGTGTAGAGTAGCACTTGTTGTTTGTTTGTCGTAAAAAGACAGTATAAGTCATTATAATCCGTAATTATGTCCCTACTGGATGCAACAAATGCCTCGTTTATAATGGGTTTTAATGTTTTTGTCTCGTCGCTCCGGCCGGACAGGGCATCACAATATGGTAAGGGGCGTAACATTTCCGTCAAACGCTTGAGGTATTCGGCCAATCACAACGCACTGGATAGCTGGCCAATCAGAGCACACCTTGCTTTTCAGACCGATGAGCTTTGTAAAAATCGGCGCATTTCAGAAAGGCGGGGCATAGAGGAGAAACAATAATGTACAGTATGTGGAAAATAATGTGTTTTTTGAACCTTAAACCGCATAAACACATTTCATTACACCAAATACA